AGGCCTCGGAATGCAGCTTTGGTGTTATCTTTGGCTGTCCTCAGGGCTGCTTCTTAAGCACTTGTGGAGAGAGAACTTGGTATTTTTTACAGAATAGACCTTATTTTCACTCTGAGAATATTCCAAAATCCTGTCATATTTTCCTTTCTGACATCTCTAAAACTCATCTTTTCCCATTGGTCTCCAATCACTAAAATCCTTTCCCATATTTTGGCTCTTTTTTTCTTCTACTCCTTATAAATACCTCCATTGTGGTCTCTATTCTTGAGTTCTGTCTCTGTTAAAGCAATCTCCTTGGTGCCTTCATTACAACATCTTTTTAAACTGCCTTCACTGGTTTTTCTCATCTGCATTAAATCTGGACTTTAGAGACCCTCTCTGCTCTTCATTGCCTGATTATTTTTTTCCCTGCTGATATGCTATATTTCTTCTTAATTTCCTAGTACCTAACCTCTTTATATGTGTTCTTTTTATTTCCCTCATTCACTTTTTGTTTTCCTAGGCAGTTTTCAAGCTGTCTCCTCCCCAGCCAAGAACATTTTATTTCCTTTTTATATGCCAAACCCAGCCTCAAACAAGTTGTACCATGAAACCCCTCTCTTATTTCTCTCATAGCTCTCTTCATCACATTTGCTAATGTCTCTCTCTTCAAGGATGGTCTTTTCTCTATCAAGTGATGCTATAGCTATATAATAGAGTGTATGTAGATGCTCTTTTGCTATGAACAGATCTATCATTTATTAAGGAAGGTCTTTGCTCTGAGTTGATTTAAGTCTATTTTCTTGCCCTCATTGCCACTGTGTTGGTTTGAGGTTGACAATTGCAGTTGCCTCCCATTTGGTCTCACTCCCTCAGCTCTCTCCCAGCTAGTCTACACTTCCCATCGTTCTCAGAAATGTCTTCCTGATCTAGTACCTCTCTCTTCTTAAACAAAACAAAACAATGAAGCTTCTGGCTTTCCCAGGCCTGTAGAATGCGGTTTACCTTCCTCAGATGTGCATCGAGGATCTTCCTACTGCAGCCTCTCCTCACCATTCCAGGTTCTCCCTGTCACTTTTGTACCCCAAATCCTAAATTCCAGTCACATGGAACTTGAGGAGGCAATTTACCATATACAGAGGTCAACAGTGGACTGCTACAGGCCACATCTAGTCTGCAGAATTCTTTGCCATTTTTTTAAAACCAAAAGATTTTATGGAAAAATCTGTTTTTCTGGTTTCTCTCAGAAAATATGGCAATACTGCACTAGGTACCCACCAGGCAACAGACAGTTGGAGTTGAATGGCGGCTGCCCTTTAGATGAAGCAGGCTCTTCTCCAATTTGCCACAGTTTCTGCCACTCCCTTTTGTATCCCCAACATTGAGGCAAAATGTCATTTGCCATTTATCACTGCTCTTGTGTTTTGTTTTGCCTTTATCGTATTAAGAGAAAATTCTATCATGTCTCTCTAGATAAGTAAAAGATAGGAAGATACTGTTTTGCATTTCAAGAAACATGTGGGGCCCACTTCACTCTTTCATCCTCCTGGCCCCTGTAGGCATCTGAGTTTGGATCTCTGACACAGTGGCCTAGCACTAAGGGTCTGTATTCAAATCCTGGCTCCATCACTTACTAGCTGTGTCGCTTTGGGCAAGTTACTTAGGCATTCTCTGCCTCACTTTCCACCTCTGTACCTTGGAGAAGACAATAGTGTGTATCTCACAGAGAAGATTATATGAGATATATTGTGAAGGTTATGTGAGATAATCTATGTAGAGAATTTAGTAGAGGAATTGGAACATGGAAAGCATTCAATAAGTCTTAGCTACATAGTTATCACTATTATTATTATTCTACTTTCCCCAGATCTAATGGTGGGAATATCAGATCCATGAGGGACATAGTTTTGGGCAGAGTCTTTTGATGCCTATTTAATCTCACCTCTCTAGCTATCAATTTTGCCACTTACCAACTATGGGTCTGGTCAAGTTATTTAACCTCGCTATGCCTTCATTTTATAATCTGTAAAATGTTAACAATAACAGTAGAATAATAATAGTATCCACATCTTTGATTATGATGTATTATCTGAGATAACCATATACCGTGTATCACAGGCGTTTGCCACATAATAAGTATGTGGTAAACGGTAGCTATTATTATCATCAGCTTCCATGGCAAAATTTTGCCTTTGTTGCCCCAGAGATGTCACCTGATAGTTGTGAGGACCCAGGGAGCCAGGTGATCCAGCTGTATGTGATATGTGATGCCTACACGTCTACATGGGTTTTTCAAAATTTGAGATATAATGCACATACCATAAAATTCACCCTCTTAAAATGTACAATCCAGTGGTTTTTAATATATTCACAAAGTTGTACAATCATCACAACTATCTAATTCCAGAACAGTTTCATCATCCCCCAAAAGAAACCCTGTACCCATTAGCTGTCATCCCTCAAACCTACCCCCCAGCCCTTGGCAACCACTAACCTACTTTCTATCTCCATGGATTTGCCTATTCTAGATATTTCATATAAATGGAATTATACAACATATGGCTATACATGGTCTTTTGCCTGTGTGTTTCCCTGAAGAATAAAGCTGCACCCTTTTCAGAAAACAAATTCCTACTGGGAAGATACAGGAGGCCCTAAGTAGGAAGTGAGAAATAGGAAGATAGCATAGGCCAAGACTGACCTAAGAGGAGCAAAACCAAACAGCCATGGATTCTAGGGGCCCGTTTGAGTAGGCTAGGAATGTTGAGGAGCTGTAAACCATGAGTATAAAAAGCAACCAAGCTATACTCCTTTGGGTTCTTCACAGCTGGCCCTCAAAAACACTACAAGGATCTCAAGTGCCCATCTGTGGATTCACCTGGGAGTTGATTAAACATACAGGCTCACTGAATCAGAATCTCCATGGTGGGGAGTTAGGAACTGACACCAGATTCTGCCAGGCAGTGGGTTTGGAAATGGCTGAATTACATGGGGCTGCTTGTATGATACTGAGCTGTGTTGTGTTCCATCTTGAATGACACTACTCTGTCATATTCATACTCTTTTTAAGTATACATGTCTGATCTTCCTAATAGGTTGTTTGCGACTAGGCCTTACTTTTCTTTGTCCATCTCAGCCCCCGTGCACAGTCTTACATAAAGTAAGGGCTCAGCACGTGTTGGAAGGGTGGTTATACAGGAACCTTGAGAGTATCACCAGGATATTGCTAGCCACAAAGTCATTAAGGTCAACAGGGTTTAAGAGGAGATCTTTCTGGCACATTCTAAGCATTCTTTGAGATTTTGAGGCTGGTGATTGTCTTCACGGCTCTGACTTGTGCCCCAGTGGTTGAGTGCCCTTTGATCTTTGGGCTCCAGAGGATGTCCCCAGAGCAGCCCCTCAGGGGGACCATCCAGCTGGCTGCACGATGCTGACAGGTAGAGGAGTGATAAGCAAGGGTAGGAGTGGTTCCTACAGCTCACAGATCAGAATCCCTCAGGAAACCTGTTGACTTTTCTGTGCCTCCGCAGACCCACTGACCCAGACCATTGTCTAGGAAGGGGAAATTACTACTCAGATACTACCAAATAATGCTCTGGAGTTTGAAGAACATGATCCTCCTGCCTGTGTCTGGAGCAAAGAAAATGTATTGTCCTCATGGGGAATTACTTGAACAGGGCTAGGGACTGGGATTTGAGAGACCTAGGCTCAGTCTTGGCCCTGCCTTTTAGTCAGTCCCTGTGTGACACTAGGTAAGCCACTTACCTTTCAGTTTGCTTCTTTGTAAAGTGAGGGATTTGGACCAGGGGAGACACCTGGAATGCAGACATGATCATTGGTATCTGTAGGAAGCTCTTCTATAGGCTCTGACATCAGTTCTAAAGGATCCTCCCCTTTGTGTGCTCCGAGGACAGAACTGCTTTCTCAGTCTGGGGTTAGCAGCTGTTCCGTGTCATTGGAGGCAAAGTTGCTGAAGCCCACTGTTTGGAGGTTTGGTTGTTGCTGTGGAATAGTGGTGAGATTAAACAAGAAGCATGGGAAGCCCCTCCCCTTTCCTTGCTCACTCGTCCCCTCCTCTCTCTTCTTCCCATATTCCAGTGATTAAGAGTTTCATGTATATAAGCTCCATCCATAAACATCCCATGGGAATGTTACAGCCACCAATTGTTAATACTCTAGTATGAAATACTCAGATCTAGCAATTGGAAGACTTTCTGTTTAACTAGGATCTGTCATAGTAAAGAAATTCAAGTAGGTGGATGATAGCACCTGCACACTGGGTTCCTGGAGCCTGAAGAAGGGGACAGAATGGCACAGCAAGGGAGGGAATGGAAGCCAAAGACAGTGATTGATTTGGCAGTTTTGCCCAGTATCTTGGCAGTGGCACTATAATACATCTCCCATGATACTTTTGGCAGAGATGCCCTAAACTAGTGATGCTTCATTGAGACCATCTTTGGCTGAGTTTCTTATCATTCTGTCTTATCTTGTTAATGACTCTAGCAATCAATCATTTTGGTTGCCCAGTAACTGGGTAAGGCTTGGGTCACTGTGCTTCTAACTTTTCATAGGATCTTAAATCCAAGTTTATCCCCAAATATTATTATTTATTCAGTTCTCATTCAGATCACAAAATCACAACTCCATTTAGGTCAGCCCTGTGAAACACTTTGAAGAAGCAGTAGCTGTTTCTGGATTCTGTAGACTCTCTTTCCCTTTTCCCAAATACGTCCTTTCCTAGCCCACTCATTCTACATTCTTTCTGCATGCAGATTCATTTATATTTAATTGCAATTATAATTTTTCCTCTTTCTTTTGTACAGCAAAATTAATGAAAGAACAGAGAATCCTAAGGCATTCTTTGTGTGTTCCTGTAGTCTCTGTCCCATTGTCTGGAAAACCACAGACTTCACTTAGATGCCAGTGAATCCGTCATCGGGTTTTGTTTAAGCCGTGTATTTACCAAGATCCTCACTTGAGCAGTGGCTTAACTTTTTAATCTTTGATTTATAATTTTGCAGTTGCTGAGGCAGAAGGAAAATACACTCCTTTGGAGGAGCATGGCCTTTTCCTATATTGCTTCCCACTGTGGCCACTGAGCTTCTTGAATCCTGGCCCCTGGACACCATCATCAAGAAGACCTTATGGATGGGCCACCTACCTCCTGAGAGAAGAGGACCATCAACTTCAGTTTCTAATTAGATTGCTTTCTTCATGTCAAGTAATGGCTGCCATCAGGGTCAGATTAAAGACAGAGCAGCTGGACAACGGCTTGGAGGACTAACCTACAAGGGCACTAAAGTGTCCATAGTGTGCTAACACATCCATGGAAATATAAGGAGAGGAAAATAATACCAGCATTTCTTTTAGGGAGAATTCTGTGTGGGGCTGGAAGGAATGGTTTGATAAATTCCTTAGGGGTGGAAAGTAGGGAGTAATCAGAATATAGAGGAGCATGGGGATGTTTTACTGCAGGGCTCCTGCTTTTTCAACTGGGATATATAAATTGGGTGCCCCAGTTGGATTGTTTGTGACCATGAAGAGTAGGCAGACTACCCCAGTGGTGCTCCTGCTTGGTTCTTTCCCACACGGAACTCAGGCTGTCCTCTAGTAAATATCTGGCAAACAGTGGTTTGAAGGAGACACCAATTTATTAGCCTGCAGGTCTCTGCTCTGTACTCTAGAGCTTGAAAATGAAGACATAGTCATAGACTGTCTATCTTCCAGTTCTAGGAAGTTAGCCCTTAGGGTGTCTTCATTCACTAGGGGGTGAGGTTTGTTAACTAACAGAGCAGATCAAGTCAAATAGAGCTTGAACTCTGCCAGTGGGCTGGGTGATCAGACCCTGTGTTGAGCTAATTAGATCAATGGAGGCATTAGGTGGAGTTGGGATTTTCAAAAATATTTAGCTGAGGGATGATATTGCCGGTTATTTGTAGATGACATCAAGGAACATTCTTGGAATCATGAAATATGGAATCATATGGAAATATGGTTATGTTCAATAATTCAACAAATAGTTAAATACCTACTGGACACTGTGGAGACTTAGGAGCAAGATAGACATGGTTCCTACCCTCATGGAGCTTACATTCTAGCTTTCTCTTAGGTGTAAAGAACAGTGATTACAGCAAACAAGTGGCCACAAAGATATTCTTGAGCACAGGATTCCAATTAATAGAGCAATTTCTATTGCTCTTATCATGACTAATGACCATGCTTCTATAAGACTTATGTCTGCATTCTGTAAATGCTCTGTGAACCAGCGTGGACTGTTTCCCTACCAAGCTATGTAAAGTCCCATGGCACCATGGGAGGTTAGGGTTAGTAGGGCTTCTGGGGAGGGAGATCTTAAGTTACATGGGTCAGGAAATATGAAGGGACAGAATTCAGGAACCAGCTAATGCTTCTGTTCTATGTAGGAAAACTGCAGTGTGAAAAATGTTGGGCTGGGAACACTGAGACCTGGGGTTTACTCTTTATTCTAGTACTAACAAGCTATGTGACTACGGCAAGTCACATCACAGTCTACTTGGAGACCTCTTGGGTGACTCCAAGACTGCTGCCAGCTCTAAAAATGTTAACATCAAGCCCAAGACTGCTGGACAACTGGCCAGTTTCTAACTCTCCTGTTCCTAAGCTGTTAGGTCAAGTAGATCTGCAATAGTTGCTTGACTATTAATTTTTTTAGAGGGGTGTTTATCAACCTTGTAGGATACAATGAGTCTGCCACCCCCATTTGGAGTTGAGAAAATTCTAGAAAGTACCCTGTAGAGCTCATAGGGGCTTTATTTCCTCCTTCATTCTTTATTCTATCCCTGCCTTTCTCCCTCTCCTTTCCTTCATCACATTTCTATTGAGCATATACCATGTGCTATATACCAGGTGTGTGCTAGGTTTGGAGATACAAGGTACACCTGACATTTTCCCACTTTTCAGAAGCTTTCACAGGAAAGAGAACAAAACCCTCCTTCCTTTCATCTGCTGGCTTTCCTTTTGGTGAGAATCAACCATGTCCCAGGGGAGGGTTCTGGTGGTACTCTGCCAGTAACCAGCTACAGGCAGATGCTCCATTCTGCTCAAGCAATTTTGAGGTGTCTTGAGATACACATCCAGATAATCCTTTTGGCCCAGGGACACCATGAAAAGATCGATGTCCAGGTATAAGGAAGAGAAAATCTTTTACTTCTTGGGATAAATCTGCAGAGGGACAGTCCTCCATACAGAGCCACTTTGATGGCCACTGTCTACCCTATCCCCTGTAAACCATCTCTGCCCAGATGGGGAGAATCTAGGTGACTGCTTCCTAAACTTAAAAAAAAAAACCCTCTCAATAAATAGACATCTTTCATGTATACTATGCTTCATATATTCACAAGGGCTGGTGGCCTCTTTAAAAAGGAAAGAGAAAACAGTGATGAGACAAAAAGATATTGCTGTGAATTCTTACCTCATTGCGAATCAGTCCTACATAAGTGACTCCTCCTCATCTTTGTTTTTTCCGTCATTAGCAACTCTATTTGATATATATCACTAAGTCCAGAACATATTTTATAAAAAAATCCACCCATGGAATTTCATATTCAGAATTGCTGACACAAGTTGTTTGGTTTGAGAATTTTATCCTGGGAAATAGTTTTAGGGACTTCAATATCTGGCTTAAATGGTGGAATTAATTACTCCTGACTCTCAATTTTGCTTCCCAATTGAGGTCAAGGAATGTATTGACACATCCAGTTAATTCCTATACCTCTCTGTGGCCAAGAGCTTTAATTTTCTCTATTGCTTTCATTTTTTGCAGATGTGCAGCATTACTAAATGGATTGATTAGTGCTTCATCTCTTCTTGTCCTTACTTTCCCTCTTGTAAACATGCTAGAAACAGTGTAAGGTTCACAAGATCAGATGGCTGATAGGACTTAGAAGAGAAACAAAGAGTCTGGTAACACACAAATGGAAAATTGACCCTGGAATAATTGACAGAATATTCAAATATCTTAGTGTAGCATTACTTCCATTAAGCAGAAGTGGTATCAGTAAATCTGTATGACTCTAAACATTTATTTTTAAAAAGGGAACATTCTTTTCTTTTTTCTCTTATGTGCTGGAGGAGTTGTAGCAGAAAAAGGAACATCTGGCAACCATCTCATATTTCCATATATCTGGATATTGACCATTGTGAAGACAAAAAATACAGATGATGGATTGGTCTTTCCACCTCTTATTTGCTTAGTCTGAAGTCTTGTAGCTCCAGCCATAGACTCTAAGGCAATTTACATTTGTTTTCTCTTTCTTGAGAGAAAACAAAAATCTTATTTTTCCAAGCAATTAAAACTCTTCTTCTTCAGCTAAGAGGAAAGAATTAGGAGTTATGTCTCCTTGTATATAATTGCATGTTTCATCTTTCTTGTTTTAATGATTGACAGAAAACTGATAAACTGAGATTTCTCTGAATCAGGGTTGAATGTACTCTCTCGGTGGCCCCATTGCTAATTTGTTTGATTATTTTTCAGGATTTCTTAGTCTGTAATGGAAAGGTTTATTAAATATAAGGGGTGCTAAGCTTTCTGAATACTAATGAATTTATTTGCCAAAATTTAAATGTTCCTTCTTGTCAGTGAATGCCTGTCTCACTTAACAGGATCCAAATTGAATAATGAAGAAAATTAGACTATATCGTACCCTCAAGAGAAATAATGTGTGAATTGTAATAGAATAGTGAGGGGGAAAGGGGTCATATTTTAGAAAAAAGAGTAGATGATTTGGATCATATAAGAAAGGATTAACTCAGAGAAACCTAATTCTTTTCAAAGAAATATGCTCATAGTAATTCAATGAGCAGAATTTCGCACTGTACAAGCGATATGTACCTTTGGCTAGTTTAGAATGAGAGTAAAGTCATAATCATATGGAAATGCATGCTAGGTTTCAGTGGTCACAATTTACTAACCTTATTCCAATGTAAGGCATCATATTACTGTGAAGGAAAAGGAAAATTCAACAAGCTTGAAAAATGAACACAGATCTCCAGAGAAGTACAATAGGAGATAGAGTTTGAGAAATTGCCCCGATTCTTCCTTTAAGCATGGTATAATGATGCTGTCTCTTGGTCAGCATGTTTACTTCCCTTGCCTTGGTGTTATCACTAATAAAGTTGATGATCAGCATAGCTTTTCCTTGCCAGCATTCGAAGAGCATTGTGGGAACAAGATGGCTGCCCTCTTGACCAGGGACACAGGCTTGGAGAACGTCAGCAGCTACACAGACTGTGGAACAGGGTCAGGGACAGAAATGAGTGTGTGTATGGAGTAAAACAAAGCGATGGAGGGAAAGTGAGAGAGAGAATATAGAGGTGAGACTGTGCAAAGATAGGAATTCGTCCCCATCATACACTTGAACTAGGAAGGTATAGGTTGGTAAAGGATGTGGGGGGGGGGGAGTGATTCTAAAGTAGACAAAGTAAAGGGAAGAATGGCTGTCTCCAGAGTCTGCCAGAATTAATTATCTTGAGATTTCAAGAGGAGGAAAGGAAGATCAAGAGAAAGGAAAGAAGGCTCTGAAGGCTGTGGAGTTTCAAAAACAAAACAAAAAATTTTAGAAACTAAATTCATGCTCTTCTGGGAAAAGAGGCTGGGCGTTACCAGAAAGTTTGATGACAGCAGGATTTGTATTGAAGGGTTTACTTTCAATCTCTAAGAGAAAAGTGTTATGGGACATAGATTTGAAAGACAGTAATGTGTCTTTTGGCCATGATACCAGTGATTCAACTGCAAATGGGAAAACGAATGGTCGTGGCGTCTCAGATAAACACCAACCAACTGTGCCCTATTTCATCTGAGATTTGTCTTATCCCCAATTAAGTAAAAAAAAACGGGGCCTAGTGAATTTGATTGCCTCTGTGGGAAGGCTTGAGAATTATAAACCTAGATTCCCCCCTTGATACAATAATTTGATGTAAAAATTAAGTAAATAAATAGAAAGAGTGTCTGGGGACATTAAGATTCATCTCCACCATTTCAAATCATGATCTGTACCTTCAGAAAACAAGAACTTGGAACTTGGAAAGCAGGAAGGAGAGGGGAAAGAGATGACTGATGGGGGCGGGTGAGCAAGAAGGGGGAAATGCACGCTGCAAACCAAATAAGACTACACAATTTGTGAGAAAATGAAATGCACAATAGAGTTTGAAGGATAAGTGGGTAATGAGGAATATGAGATAATAAGACATTTAAAAATAGGAAATTACTAGAGAAAGTGAGGATGAATGATGAATTACATGGGAGATGATTAAGGGATGCGGGAAGGCAAAGAAGGGAGGAGGTAATTGGGATGGGAAGCAAAACGTGACTAATGGCTGTAAAGGGCA